ACGGCAAGAGTGCGATACAGAAGGTTCTCGACGCCATCAAGGACGGCATCAGCACGCTCCAGCACGCCAAGAAGCCTGAGTACACAGACTTCGTGTCAGAGGGTTTGAAGATTGTGCAGGAGGGAGACAAGTTCGTCGAGGCCGCACGCCAAAAGATATCCAGCCATTCGGTCATGCAGCATGATGAAGGCAAGACAGGGGCGGACTGGCAGGAGTTTGGCGACAAGGTGCAGTCGCTGATCGATGTTGCCTCGACTCACGTGGACGGTCTTAAGCACTTCAAGGTTCGCATGCAGGCTCTGATGTAATCGCGATGGCCGGTGGGTGGCGAGAAAAAGCCGAAACCCTAAACCCAACCCAAAACCTTAAACAAAAAGACTTAAGCCTCAGCCCTTAACACATGGCGATAAAAAAAAACAAACCCTAAACCAAACCCAAAACCTTAAACAAAAGCCCTGAGCCTAGCTAGGCCGTTAACGCATGGCGATAAAAAGCCCAAACCCTAAACCCAAGCCCAAACCTTAAACAATAACCCTAAGCCTAAGCCCTTAATGCATGCAGTCATGTTTATGTGCATGTTCGCACGTACAAACCCATGTGCCATTGATCCAACAGGACCTTTGCTATCATCATGTGTTCGATTGACGTTGACATTTTAGTTCTAGCATGGGGCTTAATGTCGGTCCGTCCCATAACATCCCAAACAATGGACTGCCTAACGATCGCGATCACGCAATAGCTAGGCAATTAAACTTTGGATCAAACCGTGCACTCAAAGCTCGAACCCTCAGAGCTTCAAACCAAACTTGCATTACCGCCCAAAGCTCGCCCGCCCTCAACATAAAGTTGGAACCAGTATGTTTTATTTATATATATAGTGTATATATCGAACTCCTTAGCACTAGAACCCTCAACTTGAACACTGAAACCTGAAGCCTGCAAACTTCGAGATCGCAATAGCCGCCCAACCAAGATAGCCAACAACCTAGCTCAAGCCCGAGGGGTTTAAGGTTCAGGGTTTTAAGGTTCAGGGTTTAGATGGGGTTAGGGGTTTAGGGATTAGGGATTTAAACTCCGGCCATCGGTTATGTTATAATCTTTTCTGATGTACGTCTCTTTGCGACCCGCCGTCGATCCATCAATCTAGCACGACTTAACTTTACCTAGCCCGAATAGTCAAACTAAGTACGTGGCTGAGGCCGGCGGCCACGCTTTCGAATAAGTCATCATGCACCGAGTCCGCAGCGAATTTTCTGCAGCCAGTAACCCAACACCTTCAGGATGTAGCTCTATATCGCCCCAATGTACTAACCCTATCCTGAAATCCTTAGAACGCCACTTGACAAGGCCACCAGTTGCAGGAGCATGGCAATCCGCAACCCGCCATATGGAGACTCCAAAACCCTTTGTGTATATATGCACACGTATACGTATAGTGTATGTGCATATATGTTTAAGTTGACAATGTCATTCATATCGATACTTAATAAAACCCGTAGTGTATACTACATTCAATGAAATATGTTGGGATTTCGGAGTCTCCAGTGCCACGTACAACCGTATATAGCTTTAGTGTGTATCCCTGAGTTCGGATGCCCAAATCCTCGTCTAGAGTTGACTGTGCGACCATGTGGCCATTTGTGAACCTGGCGGCATGGAGAATCGGAAAGAGTTTCTCGAAAGAAGGGATGAGCTGCCTAAGGACCGGCGGCTACGTGAGAATCTAGCTGATCTTTTTTTGAGTGGCGAAATCAGTGGGAAGCGGGCCCGCAGCCTGTACGAAGATGCAGGGGATGCGAACGCTGTCCATGTTTCCGATGTGGCTTCGGGATCTACAGATCATAATGCACATCGCGATGTGTTGAGACGCTTGCTTGCCAACACAAAATGGCCGGAGCTTTTCGAGTGTGATGTGCCGATATACGACCCGAAAACGAACAAAGAATCTTCCGCACAACTTTCCATGTTGTTACCTCACGAGGTGGTTCATACGATGTGTCGCTGGAACCTGGAGTCCATTGACACGTTCACATCGATGGAACACTTGAGGCCCGAGCTGGCAAAAAAGATGGAGGAAATCCGCTCGTTCTTGCAATCGTCCGCTCCGAGCAGACCGCTGGTGGCTTTGGGCTTGTGGGCAGACGGGGTACCCATCAAGGGGGATAGATCCGAGTCGTTGGAAATGATAACATTGTCATTCCCAGGACTCGGCCACCGACAAACCATCCGCATTCCGATCACCGCGATGAACAAGAAATTTTTCCTCAAGGGTGGGAAGACTTGGGACGCTCTGTTCAAGGTGATTTCTTGGTCATGCCATTCATTGCTATCTGGTTTTTTTCCGTCGCACCGCTGGGATGGCTTGCTCTTGCAAGGCAAGAGGGCCAACTTGGCGGGCCGTCCGCTGCATGCTGGAGGAGCACTGTTGGAAATCAGAGGCGATTGGGCTATGTTGAAAGCTTCCTTTCGAATGCCATCCTGGAATGCCAAGAGAAATTGCTGCTTTGTCTGCAAGGCTACACCGGAAACAATGAGAGATCTGGGTCCCAATGCACCATGGAGGACCAAGCTGTGGAACCACGCCGAGCTGCTGACAGAGATGCTCGAGGTGCACAACAGTTATTCGCCGATCTTCGAAGCACCGTTCGTGGATATCCACAGCTTTTGCATCGACTGGCTGCACTGTTGCGATCTTGGTGTGTGCCAAGACTACTTGGGGAATGCCATGTGGTTGATCTCTACGAAACTTCCGGGAGCCAATATCGAGGAGCGAACTCGCGGCCTTTTCGATGATATACGGCAGCACTATGCTACAAGTGGATGCGAGAACCAGCTCGGGGCGCTTACGCCCTTGATGATTCGCAAAGCCGCTTCAAAATCGCCGAAGCTGAGATCGAAAGCAGGAGAAGCGAGATCCCTCGTGGATTGGGTGGTGGCAGCATGCGATAAGTTTTTAGGCTCATACGGGCTGTCGTCTGAGGAGCATACATGTCGTATGGCATCGAAACATTTGCAGGCATGCTATCAGAACCTCCCTGGAGAGAGCTTCGATGCCGATGATCTAGCTTTCCATTGCAAGCAATTTCTGCAATTGTGCCATGGCGATAAGTTAACACCCTAAACTTCCTAAACCCTGAAGCCACTATACAAAGCAATTTAAGGTACATGGCACTGGAGAATGCTGTGCAGCCAGATGCACGCTGGCGATATAAGCCGAAATTTCATCTCTGGCTTCACGTCTGCGAAATGGCGAAAGCCTCTCCGACGTACTGGTGGACTTACCGGGATGAGAGCTTCGGTGGGACGAGCCTTGAATTGAAACAGAGCATCTGGTTTTGAAGTCGACCTGTTGTTATATTATATAGCCGGATTACATTTTAAACCTATATAAATATAATTCCTTTTGGCCAGGATCGCTGCCCAGAGCAGATCGAGGGGAGGGCATGAAGGGCCTTCTCCGATGTCTCGAAACTTGTTGAACAAGTTCCGAGCTCAGCACAAAGTGCCACAGCTCTAGCTGCTCTACAGCTCATGTGCATGCATTGCAGCGGATCGATCGACCCGCCGTGATAAAGCTTAAACGGTTTAGGGTTTAGGGTTTAGGGTTTAGGGTTTAGGGTTCCCAGAGACTCCAATACCCCTTAATTAAGGAAGATACCTTAAATCTTATTAGGGATCCTACTATAATTTAAGGTATATTCCTA